GAGCTCCTGAAGCCCTTGTAATTTCCTTTTTTCACTGAGACAACTCTAGGTGGGCTCCTGGATGGCTTCTGGATAGGTTTTGGTTCCCAGAAAGACCAAGCCATGATTAGTAGATTGGAATTTTCACCCCCACCCTGCATCCTCCAGAGAAGGGAGACGTCTGGAAATGGATCAATCATGATATCTACCATTGTTTGCTTCTCCATACAATTTTTAGAATGGGTTTGTCAATTCCACAAAGCTGAGACAAAACAAAGCAAAGCAAAATGTGATGTTGGAATTTTGACTGGTATTGTATTAAATACATATAATACCACTAGGGCAATTTTTATTTTAATTATATTTATTTTTTCTTTCCATTACACCATGAACATATGTATAGCTTTCTTATTTACTTAGATCTTCTTTAGTGTCTTTCAATAAAGTTTTATTATTTTTTTCTTTCAATAAAATTTTAACATTTTACACATAAATATCTTAGTCATTTAAAAATATTCATTATTATATAGCTTGTGTATTTTGCTGTTTTTTTTAAAACAGCATCTTTAAATCTTTTTATCTTCTGTTATTTTTAAAGAAGCATAAGAATGTTGATTTGACAGCTTGCTATACTCTTGTTTTTTGTAATTCTCTACAAGGAATATTCTTATGCATATATTCTTTTCTTATCATTCCTTTGTTGTTAGCTAGGATGCAACAGGGAGTTACTCTGACCAGATGGCTGAAAGCCATCAGAAAGCCAGCAGAAGGGAGGAGGGGCAAGGGAAAAAGCCAGCAGGAAGCTCAACTAGGTGTTTCCCCTGACAGCCCCTTATGAACCACTTAGAGCCAGAAGGGAATTGAGTACCTGCACAGAAGTCCCTCTGGGTTGTTCTGAAGTTACCTTTAGCTCATTATAGTATTAAGGTCTCCTCCTAAGGGGGTGGGAGTTCCACCATTTTTTGGAACATAAGATTTATGCATTAGCATGTTGGCATGCTAGACAATGCACAGTTGAACCAAAGTGCTTAAGTAATAGAATATGCATAAGTTCCTTAATGTATGTGCAAACTCCCTGCCCCCACTCCTAATCTGAATAAAAACTTCTTGCACTAACTTGGTGGGGAGAGAGTGCTTTGAGAGCTATCTCCTTGTCTCCTTACTTGTATCAAGTAATAAAAAGGTTTTTTGCTTTCAACACTTCCTTGGGTTGTGTTCAGTTTAATGTACTTCAAGCTGCAAACCCTTTGAGTTTAGTTACATTATCTCCTAAGGCTAAATTCTTAGATATTCAAACATTGTAAAAGAGTGTGCTCATTTTACATTCTAATTCATTTACATACCATAAAGTATGTATTGAATCAATGAATCATCATATTGTCATGCGTAACCACTATACTCATTTATTTCACATCAGTGAAGCGTGAGTGTCCAATTCCATGCATCCTCTCCAATACTGAGTAATTGTTAGGCACTCAATCTTTGCCAATCTGATATGAATTAATAAACTTAACAGATACTCTATACAATAAAAAGATAGGATTTTTAAAAATTCTTTGATGATTAGAAACATTGAACATATTTCCAGTCACTTTTTGGCCATTTGTGTTTCTTTTTTGGTATGTGTATGGTCTGTTCTTGTCCCTTTTCTTTTACTGGTGTGCTTGCATATATTTTATTGATTTTTAAGAACTATTTTTCTATATTCCTAGCAAACTTGTTGCAATTTCCCCCGATGGATCACTTTTCTTTCTGTCTTACTTATGGTGCTATTTTTTTATATAGAATTTTAACTTTGAAATTAGACACATTCATCAATTTTTAAAAGGGAAAACACACTAGAAGTCAATAAGATAATGTACATGTTTCTGTCTCTGCAAAGGGCTGCAAGGTACAGGGAACAGAGCAAAATTCACACTTTTAATTACTTCCCATGGATCTCAGCAGTGTTTCCTCCTATCCCTTATGGTTATAAGGACATAGGAGACAGATGAGTAGATGACTTCAGAAAACCAATCCCTTGTCACTAAACATTTTTCCTATAGAAAGGGTAACAAATCAATATAAGTCTATTGAAATAGAATAGTCACAGCTTGGAAATGAGTCTGCATATACAAGCATGTTGCTGGTTTATCACCTGTGCCCAAGTCAGATTAATTGATAGTTGGGTGCTGCCCTCCCTGCCTGGAAGTAGGGGCATGATCCAGTGGCATCTGAGGCCCATCATTCTAGGAATCCATGAGCTGGGCTTCTGAGTAGTACTACCTGTGTGAGACAAGGAATCAGTATTCTGACCTCTCCTTCCATAACTGAGCATTTTGGGACAACCTGGGGCCAAAATCATCCATGAGTAACATAAAGGCAGATCTCTGTAGGATGACACAGCCAGCACTCATCACTGTGCATGTCATATCCGATTGTCTTACATAACAGGGAAAAGCTGTTTGCAAATTCTTAGGTGCTGTGAATGCTGGTAAAATGATTATACATGCATGCTTCTCTGTAGATGCTGTTGAGGGATGCAAACATCAGATCCAGACCCTGCTCTCAAGAAGAGTCCAATCTCATATCAGAGATATGTGGCATCAAATAAAATGAAGATAAAACACAAAGTATCTTGTCCAAAGGAGAGTTCATAGTCCAATTCAACTTCAGATAAAGATTTCTTCTATTAAGGGAGCAAAAAAGAAAACCATAGAAACAGAATAACTTCAGACAGCCAAGATATTTGAATTCAAGAAAAGGAGTTTAGGTTTTATCCTGAATCAGTGAAGTCCCTTGAGAAGACTTCATTTACTGGTAGTGTGACTATATAATTCATCATCTAAACTGGGGCACACTTGAGATTGAAAAAAAGTTCATAATTTACGCTGTGACAGAAGGCATATCCCAAAACTGTCCCTGGCAGCAAACAAGGGTGTATGGTAACCCTATTAAGTGGTCATAGACAATTATTTCTTAAAAGATCTCTAATGAAGAAGAGACAGAGGGAAAAAACCAGGAAGTGAGAGGCAAAAACGGCCAACAAAATACACACAGCATTACTATAAAATATATATATATGTATATATATATATATATATATACATATATATGTTTATACAAACAATCACACATTTAGCTTCTGTATATTATTTGTATACCCATATGCATAGACATAAACACATATTTATATCTTGCAACTACATGTTAACTGGCTTCACCCTTTCCTTATGACTTATTCATTATGTTGCTTCAGGTTCTGGAGAATTTCAGATTCTCCCCCAGTGTTTCTGCCACTAGCCAGAAAGAGAGTTTTCCTTTACTGGCTTCTTATGGCTTTAGTGTGGCTTCTTCTAATTAATTAATTAATTAACTTGGATAATCTCACCATGGTGTTGTACACCAACTTGAAACAGATGTGAACTCCTGTCCTTGCCCTTCATGTATTTAAAGTAGAAAAACTTTCTGAGTAGAGAAAACAATAATAAAAACCTAGGGCCAAGGAGCAGCAAGGGACTTCAAAAGCCCCTACAAGTCGCTGCTCACATTGCCTACTGGGCGTTGCCCAGGCCTTGGCCTCCGGATTTCCCACGCTTAGACTGTGCTTTCCTGCCACCCGGCCCTGATTGGTCGCTCTAATTATGGCAGTGAGGAGCTCCCTACTCCTCACCATGAATTCTTTTCCTGGAGGTGTTTCATAGTCAAACATATTTAGCAAAACAAAGGAGACTTAAGAGAAAAAAAAGTAAATAATTTGGAAAATATCCTCAAAAGTCCTGACTTTTCTTCCATTGAAGTAAAATATGACCAACAAAGGATACATATTTTTCCCTTATTTATGAATACATAGGTATCTTATTATTTGAGGGCACACTATGTTACATTCCCTCTGTTAGGCTCGTTCTTTACATGGTCTGTCTAAAGCAATATCCCTGTGAGATATTTTTATCATTATTCATACTTTATAGTAGAGGAAACAAAATTAAAAAGGAGTCACTGTATGTAACTTCCACAGGATGCACAGATACCACGTGACAGAACCAGAATTGCATTCTAGGGTCTGACTCCAGGCTCTTAAAAGCAGTGGGATGGGGTGCCTGGGTGGCTCACTCGGTTAAGCGTCTGACTTCAGCTCAGGTCATGATCTCACACTCCGTGAGTTCGAGCCCCACGTCGGGCTCTGTGCTGACAGCTCAGAGCCTGGAGCCTGCTTCAGATTCTGTGTCTCCCTCCGTCTCTGCCCCTCCCCCGCTCATGCTCTGTCTCTCTCTGCCTCAAAAATAAATAAAAACAGTAAAAAAAAAATTTTAAAGCAGTGGGATACACTAGAGATCAGCTAATTTTTTGATAAAGGGCTAAAGACTTAATATTTTAGGCTATGGAAGCCATAGGGTCTTTGACTCAGCTACTCAACTCTGTCATTGTGCTGTGAAAATAGCCATTGTTAATGAATGGGTTCCAAGTAAAACGTTAAAAACACTGAAATTTGAATTTAATAGAATCCCCATGTGTCATGAAGTACACTTCTTTGATTTTTATTTCCAAACATTAAACACGTAAAACCATTCTTAGCTTGCAGGCTACACAAAATAGGCAGAGGGGAAGATTTGGACTCTAGACCAGTTTGCTGACCTCTGGGAGCCTGGCAGGGTGGCTTAGACTTGGGCATAAGTAGAGAAATGTGAAGGTATCTCTAAATTATAATCCAGAACAGGCTTCCAAGAGCCACTGATTTTATGTGTCAGGAAGAAGGAAAGAAAGGGACTCTGGCCCAAGGTCCAAAACAAGAGCTGTGTGACCTTCCAGGTGGCACTTGCCAAGGAGAATGAGACAAAAGATCAAATTAAATTGTCCACAGCCATGTACTCCTTGTTTCTAAGAAGCCCTAGCCCTTGCATTTTGGGCCCCATGGAAGGAGGCAGGAAGGAGCTGCCAGTCACCACCTGTCACAGTAGCATGTGGGTGGCAGGAGGCAGTCCCCTCATGCCCAGGTCCTGTCTCACAGGCTGGGGGCAGAGCCCAAGGCCAGGATAAAAGGGCTTTGGGGACAGAGCCCGGTCATGCATTCCTCTCCTGAGGTGCTGACAGACCCAGTATTGCCTGTGCACCGGTAAGTGTCCCCTGGGACCAGGACCAGTGCCTTTCACAGAAGGAGTTCAGACCAGAGCAAGGAGGCAGATAGAATAGGGATTTGGGAGAAAAGGACCCATTGTGGCAGAGGAGGAGGGTTTGAGGAAGGAGTGCAGGAAGTGTTCTAGCACCAACTGAGAACATGTGGAGAACCAGATGTTTATGCCTTGAGATCTGGAGAAAGCAAATAGATCTGCATTTCAGTGTGCCCCTCAGGATGGGGACACTGAAGCACAGACACTGGGCTCCACTCTGACAAGTTTCAGGAGACAATTCACTTTTGAAAATACAACCCTGTTCCTCCTTGCAAAGGAGGGTGGTAGGCAGGGACCTTAGGCTTTTTTGGACTTGTTAAACCTGCCTACTCGTGGGTCTTGGAATGTTTTTGTACACTTCCTGTGTTGATGAGGATAACACAAGCCTGAGAATCACCTTGCCAACCTGCCAGCTTGAAGTGGTAAAGAGAGGAGACCTGTGTTCTGGACTGAGATCAGGGGTCTGGTTTCAAGTCTTAGTTTGGACTGGCTGAGAGGTTTATCAGTCTCTTTAATAATGTGATCTTACTGAAGTGGGGCATCTCCAAGGTCCTTTGCAATGCTGACCTCACAGAATAAAATCATCTTGGAAGTTATGACAAGAGGCAACAATTACTGTAGGTTTCCTTTAAGAAATAGTATCCCCTCAAATGGCCTATTAATTGAACAACTTCAGATTTGAAAGGTGTGGTTGAAACCAGTACCATCTTCACCTACAAGACTTTAGACTCTTGGATGTGTTTGGTAATATGGTTTGGTTTTAGTTTACTACCTTGTATACTAGAGGAAAGTGTGTGCCTGACTTATAAGGCTCACCTGAGGTTCCAAAGAGATGATGCCAGAGTACAGGAATGTTGTGCAGCTTCTGGATTATATGAGATGTTTCTAAGTGATATTTCTATGATTCTATGATATGTTAAGAGGGTGAGATGGGCAGGGGGTTCTGTGTCCCAGTCTGACTCACTGTGTGACTCTTCTTCAGCTCCTGACCCTCCCTGCTAAGATGTCCTGCCAGCAGAACCAGCAGCAGTGCCAGCCACCTCCCAAATGTCCTCCCAAGTGTCCCCCAAAATGCCCCCCAGTCTCTTCCTGCTGCAGTGTCAGCTCTGGGGGCTGCTGTGGCTCCAGCTCTGGGGGCGGGGGCTGCTGTAGCTCTGGGGGTGGTGGCTGCTGTCTGAGCCACCACAGGCGACGAAGGTCCCATCGCCACAGACAGAGCTGTGACTGCTGCAGCCAGCCCTCAGGGGGCTCCGGATGCTGTGGCCAGCCATCTGGGAGCTCTGGGTGTTGCGGAGGGGGCAACAATCAGTCATCTGGAGGCTGCTGTTGAAGTGGACCTTGATACCCTCTTCCCCTGACCTTCCTGAAAGGTGGAGAGATCTGAGCAAAAGCTTAGGCTCTAGCCAGAGGATCCCTCTACCCTGGTGTCCAGAAGCCCAAAACATCTCTCTAAAATTCATTTTCTGCCTTTCTTCCCCCTATCTGTGACTGTCCTGGGAATCTCAAAGTGCAAACTTCTTGTTTCTCCACAACTTGTATTATTGCATTCTGTTGTCAGAATTAGAACAATAAAATTGAATCTGATCACTACCTTGGTGTAGGCTGATATCATATCCCATTTTTGTTACAACTGTTCTCTTCTCCTCTGCCTCTGTTGGTGGCTGCAGGGGCTTTAGTGGACAGAGGACAGGGTCAAGGGTCAGAAGGGAAATTTTTTCATACTTTATACATTTGTAATCTCCACTGATTCTTTTCTTTCCCTTTTAATCAAGGCCCTGAAGCAGCATTAATTGTGAACATTGCTCCTTCCCCCTTTGGTTACCTTCACATGTCTAACTCTGTACCTCAGACATGGCCAGGAGACAGGTATCATCCTCCTTCCTACCATCACCTCCTTACTCCAGTCTCCCCATTCTCTACCCTGCTTCTAATCAGTTGCCTTCAACTTAAGTACACATATACATACACATACAAATGCATATATGGAATAAGCCCTTATTGAAGTTTCAAAATCATTTTTATTATTGTATAATTTACACAGAATAAACTTCAATAATATTTAAATATACAATTCAAAGACTTTTGCCAAATATATGCAGTCGTGTAACCACAAATGTAATTAATGCATTTAAAATGTAGTTGGTGGACTTGACTTCAGTAAGTTGCACCACCAAATGGAGAACAGAGCCTGTTACACCAAGCCCTGCCCCCTGCACCCTCCATCTCCACTAGGGCAAGTCAGCCTGAGAATCAGAGCAGCAGGCCCCTCCCCCAGAAGACCAGCACAAACCCTTTCCACACACTAAGTCTACTGATCATAGAGTTCTGCAAAGCTCTAGCTCTAAGAGACACAGGATCTAGTTTCCTTTGGGTTTGTTTGTTTGTTTTGTTTTGCTTTGCTTGGATACAAAAAGATCAACATTTTTTATTTCATTTATTTTTTAATTTTATTTTTTTAATTTTTAATTTTTAATTTTTTGTATTTTCTTTTTTCTATCAAGTTTCTCTTGACAGGCAGAACAAAACACACCTACGATCTAGCTTCCTTCATTATTTTAAAATTTTTTATACTTTGAATTTAATTTTATTATTATTTTTTTCCTCCAAAATGACAAGACAGAGAAATTTACCACAAAACAAAGAACAGGAAGAAATGATGGCCAGGGATTTAATCAATACAGATATAAGTGAGATATCTGAACTAGAATTTAAAACAACAATTATAAGGATTCTAGCTGGACTTGAAAAAAGCATAAAAGACTCTAAAGAACCCCTTACTGCAGAGATAAAAGAGATAAAATATAGCCAGACCAAAATTAAAAATGCTATAACTAAGATGCAAACCTGAATGGATGCTGTGACAGCGAGGATGCACAAAGCAGAGAAATGAATTAGTGACATAAAAGATATAATTATGGGAAATAATGAAAATAATGAAGCTGAAAAGAATGGAGAAACAAAAGTTATGGATCACAAAGGTAGACTTATGGAACTCACTGACTTTGAACAAATTATAGCTGAAAACTCCCCTAATCTGGGAAGGATGCAGACATCAAAATCTAAGAAACACAGAGAACTTCCATTAAATTAAACAAAAGCTGGATAACCCCAAGGCATATCATAGTTAAATTCACAAAATACAGGCAAGGAAAAAATCCTGAAAACAGCAAGGGAAAAATAATCCTTAACCTATAAGGGAAGACAGATCAGGTTCACAGCATATCTGTCCACATAAAGTTGGCAATCCAGAAGGGAATGGCAGGATTCAATGTGCTGTATGGGAAAAATATGGAGTCAAGAATACTTTATCCAGCAAGACTGCCATTCAGAATAGAAGGGGAGATAAAGAATTTTCTATACAAATAAAAACTAAAGGAATTAATGACCACTAAACCAGCCCTGAAAGAAATATTAAGGAGGACTCTTTGAGAGGGAGTAGGAAGGGGTAGACTAGAAGCAACAAAAACTAGAAAGGAACAGAGAACATCACCAGAAACACTAATTTCACAGGTAAAAGAATGGCAATAAATTCATATCTTTCAGTACTCACTCTGAATGTAAATTGACTGTGTAATGATAGTAATGGACTATGTAATGATACATAGGGTATCAGAATAGATAAACAAAAGCAAGACCCATCTATATAATGCCTACAGGAGACTCATTTTAGACCTGAAGACAACAGCAGATTGAAAGTAAGGGGATGGAGAACCATCTATCATGCTAGTGGACACCAAAAGAAAGCCAGAGTAGCCAAAATTATATCAGATGAGATTTTTTTTTAAAAAAAGACTGAAACAAGAGATGAAGAAAAGCATTATATCATAATTAAGTGGTCTATCAAGAAGATCCAACAATTGTAAATATTTATGCCCCAAACTTGAAGGATCCAAATATATAAATCAATTACTAACAAACATAAAGAAACTCACTGATAATAACACAATAATAGGAGACTTTAACAACCTACTTACATCAATGGACAGATCATCTAAGCAGAAAAACAATAAGGAAATAATGACTTTGAACGACATACTTGATAAGATGGACTTAATGGATATATTCAGAACATTCTACCCTAAAGCAACAGAATACACATTCTTTTTGAGTGCACATGGAGCATTCTCCAGAATACTGGGTCACAAATCAGCCCTCAACAGGTACAAAAAATTGAGATCATACCATACATATTTTCTGACCACAATGCTATGAAACTTGAAGTCAACCACAAGAAAAAATTTGGAAAGGCCACAGTGCATGGAGGCTAAAGAACATCCTACTAAAGAATGAATGGGTACCAAGAAATTAAAGAAGAAATAAAAAAGTACATGGAAGCAAATAAAAATGAAAACACAATAGTACAAAACCTTTGGGAAGCAGCAAAGGCAGTCCTAAGAAGGAAGTATACGGAAATACAGGCCTACCTCAAGAAGCAAGAAAGGTCTCAAATACACAACCTAACTCTACACCTAAAGGAGCTAGAAAAGAAACAGCAAATAAAACCTAGAGCCAGCAGATTAGGGAAATAATAAAGACTAGAGCAGAAATATACGATATGGAAACAAACACAAAACAGTAGAACAGATCAAAAAAATTAAGAACTGATTCTTTGAAAGAATTAATAAAACTGATAACCCCCTGGGCAGACTTATCAAAAGAAAAGAGAAAAAAAACCTGAATAAATAAAATCACAAATTGAAGGGGAGATATCATGACCAACACTCCAGAAAAACAAATAATTATAAGAGAATATTATGAAAAATTTTATGCCAAAAAACTGGTTAATCTGGAAGATATGGGAAAATTCCTAGAAACACGCAAACTACCAAAACTGAAATATAAAGAAATAGAAAATTTGAACATACCCATAAACAGCAAAGAAATGGAATCAGTAATCAAAAATCTCCCAAAAAACAGGATTCCAAGGTCAAACGGCTTCCCAGAGAAATTTTACCAAACATTAAAAAATGTTTATTTATTTTTGAGAGAGAGAGAGACACAGAGTGTGAGCAGGAGAGGGCAGAGAGAAAAGAGGACACAGAATCTGAGGCAGACTCCAGGCTCTGAGCTGTCAGCACAAAGCCCAACATGGGACTTGAACTCATGAACCATGAGATCATGACCTGAGCTGAAGGTGGACACTTAACCAACAAAGCCACCCAGGCAAACCCCCTTTTTAAAATAAAAAAAAAAAATTCTACCAAACATTTAAATAAATGTTCTTTAATTTAAAAATTCTTCTCAAACTGTTCCAAAAAATAGAAATGCAAGGAAAACTTCCAAATGCATTTTATGAGGCCAGCCACACCCTTATTCCAAAACCAGAAAAAGACCCCACTAAAAAGGACAATTATAGGCCAATATCCCTGATGAAAATGGATGCAAAAATTCTCAACAAGGTGCTGGAAAAATGAATTCAACAGTATGTTAAAAGAATTACCACAATCAAGTAGGATTTATTCCCAGGCTCCAGGGTTGGTTCAGTATTCATAAATCAACCAATGTGATACACAATGTTAATAAAAGAAAGGATAAAAATGATATTATCCTCCCAGTAGATGCAGAAAAAGTATTTGACAAAATATAGCATCCATTCTTGATAAAAGTCCTCAACAAAGTAGGGATGGAAGGAGCATACCTCAACATCATAAAGGCCATATACAAACAAACCACAGCTAATATCATCCTCCATGGGGAAAACTGAGAGCTTTTACCTTATGGTCAGAAACAAGGCAAGGATGTCCCCTCTCACAACTCCTTTTAAAAATAGTATTGGAAGTTCTAGCTAATACAATAAGATAAGAAAAGTTAATTAAGGGCATACAGATTGGGAAGGAAGAAATAAACTGTTTTGTTTGCATATGATATAATCATCTATGTAGGAAATCTGAAAACAAACAAATCTCCTGGCACCAATAAGGAATTATAGCAAGACTGAAGGATACAAGGTTAACACAAGGTTATCCACAAAAGTCAATCATGTTCCTGTATAACAGTAAACAAGTAGAATTTGAAGTTAAAAATACAATACCATTTACATTATCAACCCCCAAAAATAAAATACTTTGGTGTAAATCTGACAAAATATGTATATAATATATTCAACATGAGGAAAACTATAAAACTGATGAACAAAATCAAATAGGAACTAAATAAATTGAGAGATATTCCACATTCGTGGATATGAAGAATCAATATTGTCAAGAATATCAGTTCTTCTGAACTTGACCTATAGATTTAATGCAATCCCACTCAAAAGTTCAGCAGATTATTTTGAGGGTATCAAGAAACTGACTATAAAATTCATATGAGGAGTCAAAAGATACAGAATAGCCATCACCAAATCAAAGGAGAAAAACAAAGTTGTAGGACTGACACCACTCAACTTCAAGACTATAAAGGTACATAATCAAGACAGTTTGACATCAGCAAAATAATAGATAAATGGAACAGAATAAAGACCCCAGAAACAGATACCCATAAATATACTCAACTGAGCTTTGACAAAAGAGCATATATAATACAATGAAACAAAGATACTCTTTTCAAAAACGTGGTGCTAGAAAAAAGGGAAATCCACATGAAAGAAA